CACCAGGGACTGCTAAAATGTGTCAAGTGTTACAAACATAAATTAATTTATAATGCAGAACATCTCTGTGAAGAACCGGGAAATCATTTTTGCAGTACGTATCAAAGGAAAAAGAATTGAAAGTAGAGTAAAACTCTTTGTATAAAATTTTTCAAATCTTCCGTTGTAATATGCGGCACTATGTTCTCTGCTCATACAAACAAAGTTAATTCCATCCATTTATCATAAAAATTGAGTTATATACAGCATTTTAAAACACAATGCTTAATTAAAATTGTTTAAGCGCCCCAACAGGAACGGACATTTAAACGCGCACCAACAGCGGGCATTTAAATGAACTCCGGCCAGCTCAAGCTTACCACCATTTCAGAAGTCCGGCGTTTAGAGGAATGTTTTATATATATATGCGGCAGGACACGTGCTCTCTCTGGGAGTGCTGACAGTTTGATCTTGGGTTTGAAACTAAAACAAACCCACGCAAGGTCATGTCAGAGGTTCATTTGTTAGCTCTGAACAATGAAATCTTTTATCAGTTTCTGCAAGCGCGGCCCATCGCCCCGAAGGGGCTTTCCATGGGGTTTTAGTCTCGAGTGTTCTGGTTTACTGATTAAATAGCTGCGTTATGTTAAGCGTGGCATGGGAGGGTTCCCACGCTTCCATAATCTCATCCCCAATACCTCCTGCCATAACCTATAAAATGAATTATTCAGAGGAGCGGTTTGCACAGCCCAATAAGGAACATAACAAGAAACTAAAATTCTACATTTTAATACACTTCGTGGCTTTCCACGATGTTTTAGTCTCAAGTGTTGAGGTTTTACTCCACAGACGGCGCTACAATTCCCCCTTAGTGAACCCTGATAAATCCTGCTTCACTAAAGACCATCACGGACTTCTCATGTGTCATAAATCATTTACTGCAAACAGTATCTTGGGAGCATGTACCATATGCAACCTGTCTTCACCTCAAAAGGGGGGGATCATTTTCTGAATCCCTCTCCCTCCAGATATAACAACTGATTATAGCTTCCATTTAGTTTTCTTTTTACCCAAAAATATTTCCCAAAACATCCCCTTTCCAAAGGAGCTGTTGCAAGAGAAAAATGACCTCTATAACCTCCTCCTATCCATCTTTTAAGAAGAGCCCAATAATTTTAGCCATTCTTTTTAAATTAAAACACATTTTTAATTCCTGTTTCTTCAAAAATGAAATTCCTCATTATATGCTTTTTTCTGCTTCTCTCAATGTTTGTCATACATTTTGCGCATTACTTGCAATCAGCTTCTTTCTCCTTATTCTTCAGTGATTTACCTTTGTATCACTTTCACATATCCTCCTCTTCTTCTTTCCATTACTTTCAGACCTCCATTCTCTCATACTGATCCCTTTAACTTTGAACTTCCTGTTGCATTATTCTACCTTGCTCTCCATTTTACTCCTGCAATTTTTTCCCTTTCCAAACATATCAATCCCATTTCATTTCTCATTCAAATCACCTTGACCATTCTTACTGTAATTTCAAAGTTCAGTATCTACCTTACAAACACTTGTGAGGCAAGACTCACACCACGATTCACTTCCCCTCACCATCTGCTGATTACTACTGGCGATATTCATTTCAATATCCCATATTAATAACTTTCAACCATAACATATTCATGTTATCTCTCTTATCTTTAGCTAAGCAACTTCAATGATACTGGAGTATAAATATAGAAGGATAAAAGACCCATACACTAACTACTGGCCATTGCTAAGAATAGATATCCACAAACAAAAAAATCACAAAGCGAAGACTCTTGTATTGCTTACAAACACTGCACAAACAAATTAATCCAGCACTTTATACATGTCACAATTCAATACAATACATGATCTGTACATTACAGACTGTACAACACAACATTCAAACAGAATGCTTCTGCACAAGCCTTGCAGACCTCAGCTCAAGATCCATACAGATCAAGAACCTCACACAAACATGGCAACATTCCTGAAAACTAACCTGCCCTTCAACAGGATGGCATGCTGAAAAGTAACACTTCTTTTCTTTTACCAAACAGATTAATTCAATTACATCTTCATACTACTGCCTCTAAGACATCCCTCAATTACTGTTGTAACAATGTTGCAGTATACAGAGATGTGAGTGCAATATAGTCTGTCCAGTGATCTAAATCCTCACTGTGCAAATCTTTCCACTCATCAACATTCACTGGCGATCATCACCACCACCATGACTTCCACCACCTCTATCACCACCACACATCACATGATGAAGTCAAGATGGTGGTAGAGATGTCCTTCCATCCTCAATATGCAGACATCTGATTTACTGCATGTCAGGGCATTACTGTTGCTATTCTTGTTAGTAAAGATACTCAAATTGCCTTCCTCTCTCAGTCACTCCCTGGCACAGGTATTCATTACCAGAAATATTAAGACATTTTTATTTTATTTCCCATGATGATCACGTTTCATGCACAAAGGGATAGATGTGGTATACAAGCAGAAGAGACAGATGTATCAGTAACCAGTGAGGTGAAGGTAAATTTATGCTGTTTAGACTCCATAACATTGTACCATCATTCATTATACATGTATTTGTAAAAGTAACCTTATATTCTGTTGGAATGCTTAGAAAAATAGGTCTCCAACTTAACGATCAACAACAGAGAAGGAAATCAACCATTTGTTTCACTTGTTGCTACAGTGCAATGTGTGTCAGTTTATGGTGAACAGAAGAGAATGGAATCCAGCCGCTTCAGACACATCACCTTCACTACACATATGCATAATCCTACCTCACCTGATTTGAAAACTAGTGAACACATGTGGCAACTGCACCGACATTCTGCTGCCTTACATGATGAAACACATTTCTGTTTAAAAATGAATAAAGTCAGGCTCCCTGATGATTCATTCAATCATTTGTCTATAATCTGTCAAGATGACAGGTCCACAGTTTCTTTCAAAACATTTCCTCCACTTAATGCTATCTAGACCTTTCTCCTTCAAATGAGAACATCCTCTTCTGTCCCCTATGTCATTCAGCATCTTCTTATGTCTTCTTCCTCGTCTTCTGGTCACTTCTATCCGCCCCTCTATCTTTCCTTCAATAACTTCTTGTAGAAGGCAGTTACTGCGTAAGATATGACCAATCCAATTAGCCTTCCATTTTCTTATTTCGTGTAGGATATTCCTCTGCTCACTGACTCTAAATAACATTTCTTCATTTCTCACATAATCGGTCCAACTGATCTTCTCCATCCTTCTTGAACACCACATTTCGAAGCTTTCCAGGTGTTTCTGATCTACTGCCCTAAGTGTCCAAGTTTCAGCCCCACACAGAGCTATGCTGCAAATGTAGCATTTCACTAGTTTCTTTCTCTTCCTGATGATATTCAATTGAAAATGTGTTTTCAGGATCAGCACCAGGAACCAAAAACTCATTCATGAATTGCTCAGGATAATATTTTATGTACATGTTCTCCATGACCAAAGAGAATAGCGTTCATTTATGACCTTACGTAAACTAAGCTTTATTATGAATCCACTGCATAGCAACTGCAGTGAAAGAGTGTAGTGTCAAATTTAAAAGAAAATCTGTCCAATAGTTATGTGCTGATATGAAGTCACAGACAGTTATGACCTTTACTTTGTAAATAATGGCTGATAATGTTCCTTCAAAGTGAAAGAAACTACTGAACAGCTATTGCTAGAGATATGGTTAGAATTAGTTTTTAGGCAGTTTACTCTGGTTTTCACCAGCAGAGTTAGAGTTCTTACTATGGAGTACTGGTTTAACTAAAATGCTTTGGGGTTTTTCATATTCATATCTTTATTTGTTCCAGAAATCCATATTTGGTGACACAGCCACCAGATATAGAACAAATCAAGTTTTATCATCACCAATACTATAATTAACTATATACACAAATTGTATACATGTCTCACGGTATACCATAAAAATGAGATGCAATATAACAAAACCGCATACAAAATAAACACCATATCCAGAGTTATAAAAATTAAGTGAAAACAAGATCTTTATAATTTCAAGAGACAATGATACACTCACACATATCAAAAAATTTAAAACAAAATAAACACCTCAACAGAGTAAAAAGAGTGATTCAATAAAAAGGATTTTAAGTCCTTACTGTACAAACTGATACATTTATAACACATTACATGAACAGTTTTTAACCATATTTTATTGTATAACTTTCATTTTATAATAATTCCATTGTATTTTTATACCTTGTATTATAGAGTAACATAGTTGTGAAGTATCCAGCTCTACTGTCACACTGATATGCAGTTCAACAGTGTGAGTGCAGTAACCATGTATTTGCCTGATGACGGCTTTAAAAGTTGAAACATGTGACTAAGGTGATGTTGACATAGACCGTTTTGTTGTTTTGTCATGATGGATCCCAATAAAGAATTAGTTTCTCAGTATTTATTATATTATTATTATTATTTTTTGAAACCATATTTATAACTCTTTCATAACAATGATTATTTCATATTTAAGGTCAAACTCGTCTCTCTAGTAATTAACAAATTTGAATCATCTGCAAATAAGACCCCTGCACATTTTCTGTGATATAATTTATATATTAATGGAAATGAAGGCGGCCCTAGAACTGAGCCTTGTGGCATACTGTGCTCCACTTTCTTGCATGATGAGATGTGTTTTTAACAGAATTACTGCAGTCATTTTCTTTAATTTCAACAAACTGAAGACAGTTTGACAAATATAACTTGAACCACAAATCTGACTCACTTCTTATGCCATATGCATTTAATTTATCTATAATATATTGTGATTTATCATGTCGTATGCTTTAGATAAATCGAAGAATAATCCTATGGCATTAAGTCCTCTATCTAAGGCAGTCTGTATACTTTCAATAAAAGTTTGGCTTGCTGTGTCAGTTGATTCATTCTTTCTAAAGCCGTTTTGGGCTTCTGTTTGTATATTATTATCCATTAAAAAAGGTATTAACCTGTTATACATTTCACAGAGATGACTGAGAACAGAGACCGTGATACAGAATGTTAAGCCATCATAAACTACCCTTCTGTCTCTGCAATTCTGCAACAACTTCCTGTAGTCTGGACTCCAAAGATTTTAGGGGGTCTGTCAACTTTATCCCTTGAGATTCTCCACTTGACAGAACATCCGGATAAAACTTCTGTAATATTAGAGAAAAGTAAGAATTAATGTAAATGATTTTGATAAAGATTAGAACACTTCATAGATAAAGTAGCCAGATGATATGGCTGTGCTATATATGATGTATGTTGCTAATTGTGATTATTTCTAGGTTATTAAATACAGTGCTGACAAGCGGGGAATGCAGGACAAATGGGCAAGAGAAGAAATGCATACAAAATTTTGGTTGGCTAACAAAAGGGACTCAAGAAAACAGGGAAGAGGGTGCTGACTGGATTTCTTGCTAGCTCAGGATAGGAGCCAGTGATAAACTCTTTTGAACCTTGTAATTAGCCTTGGGTTTCCATTACGTAAGGTATTGTTATCCCTGGAGAAAAGAAAAATCTCTTACCCCTGCTGGGAGTCGAACGCATGGCATCCAGTCCAATTCTTGGCAAGTTCATTTTAATATCTACAGAAGTTTCACAACATACAATACTGGCATCATGGGCTTTTCTTTGGAAGATCCATTGTTTTGTGTATAAACAACACCTCAATTTTAGAGGGGAAATTTTTGTCAAAAAAGTGTGGCTTGTACACATATTCACATTGATATTCACAATGTGAGTGAGTGAGAGCTGCTGGAGAGAATGTTATTGAAGAAACAAAGGTGGGCCTGAGAAAGGTTTCTGATGCCGATAACTGATTCATGGCTGTTCAGCCAGACATTCTAGCAGCAATGCAAATTCATACAAGTAAACAACAATTACAAGGAGTAACATAGTTTATAGTCAAACTGTAATGCACAAATCTGCATTCAGATGGGATCATCTGTATGCAGTTTGACAATCAACACTGGATATACTGGGAATTTTTGTAGTTTCCGTATTACTCTGAGCAAGCTTCTTGTGAGAGATAGTTGATCACTGCTTGCTTTCCAGTTAATCATTCATAATTACTCAACCATCCTTTTCACCTCATAATCATCTCTTCAGTAAATACATGAACATAAAATAGCTTATGAACCAATTAACCATTACAGACATACTATCCCTCTGTGTTTATTGTTGTACTGTGGAAGCCCAAAATTACGCCAGAATTTTATGGTCTAAGTTAATGTAAGGATGATATTACATAACTTCCTTCCTAACCTGCAGCCTCAGAACTGAAGAATTTCTATTGATACTGTAAATCTGTATTTCTGCAAATTTATATGATTCTGACAGAGTTCAGAGCAGTAAAGGGAAAGTGCTGTGATCGAAATGCAAAGTTTGTGGGTGAACCAATCAGTCCAAGGCTCTTGCTGATACAAAAGCAGCAGAAACGTATCCTGAAGTGTCAAAAAATTATAGAAAAAGGTGGTTATATGACACACCAAGTATTTAACATCAAAGAAACTGGGCTGATCTGGAAGAAAATGCAAATAGAATATTGTTTATCATTCAGAAAATCCATGTACATTCAAATTCTTAGCTAGCCTATCCTTCCAGTTGATTTCTGTTCGGTTCCAAAGCCTACGATGACAACAGCACTTTCTGAAGACTGCTTCATGAATTGTTTTATTCCAAAGTGGAAAAATTCTGAAGAAGAAATGACATCCCATTCAGGATTTTGCTTGTCACTGACAATGCTCTTGGGTTATCTCACACATATATATAGACACACTAACGTAAAAGTCAATGTCTCTTCTATAAACATGACTTCCATCCTCCTGCTTATGGATCATGAGGTGATTACAAACTTTAAAGCCTATGAACCTATGAAGAATATTTGCATAGGCAGTAGAAACAATAGACAGACACCCTGGCAAAACTTCAAATGATTTTTGGAAATTTTAAAATACTGTGACGTATAGACCTATTGCTAAGCAAAAACTTTGAAACAAACAATGAGACAACAGCTGTTGCTATGCGCACGTCGCACCAACTAGTGAGAACATACATACGAGGCACAAATAAGGACACTGCAAAAAGAAAATAAAGCAGAATGGAGACAGTCTTATTCTCACACAAACATATTTTAGTGTGAATGATATGCAGCAGGATTAAAATATACAGTGAAACCTCGATTCATCGTTTTCGTCAGGGGTCCTGAAAAAACGATGGTTGCGGGAAAACGATAGATGCGGGGCCTATATAAAATGAATGAAAACGGTCACATTTGCCTATATGTATTAACTAAATCAAAAAACATAAACCAGTGATAATATTTCCACTGTCAAGTCCAATTTGTGTTACTACTTTTTAAAAAAAGTCATTAATTTTCATTTGTTTAGTAGCACCTTTCCTTTTAAAGCTGAATAATAATGACGCTAACAATAATACGAAGCACGTTGAGGATCGAACATGTGATGGACTGTATACTCAACCACGCGAAATCATGAACTGAGTTGATTCACACTAACATACAGGAAGGTTTTCCTAGCTGGAAGGCTCTCGGCATCCCCTTATCGCTCACGCTCATTGTTTTGCAGGTAGGATGCGCTCAAGGTCACATACCACGTTTCAAAAACATCAACCACTTTTACTTCTACCAGTGCTTACTAACATTTGTGTGGTGTTGCACTTTCTTAAAAACGATCACTGCGGGATAAACATTCATGAGGACCAAGAATTCCGACCGATAGATGAGGGAAAACGATAAATCGAAGAACGATTGATGCGGATTTTATTTCCATTGTTTAAATAGGATTTGTTCAGGGTCCACAGAAATTGAATGATGGATCCGAGAAAACGATATATCGAGGTTTCACTGTATTGACTTACAATCTCATGCAGTGCAATAATTTTAAAAAAATGAACAATTTCCTGAAGATGGATAATTAGGGCTAAAACATGTAGCAATTGATGTGATTTTAATGTTATTTTAAATTAAAGTGAGATTGTGAACAGTTTTAAGTTGCATTAAAGGTGGAGGTAAAGGAGCAAGTGTTACACACTGGTGCAGATTTGAGTAGGTACTACATAAAAGGGGAAGACTTGGCTTAAGTTCTGTGATCAGTGGGATGTTACTCAAGGAAACAGAATACCTAGAGATTACGTCTTTCCAAGCATACAAATATCAGAAAGGAGAGTAAGTAGAGTGTCTCTGAATTTACCTTGATTCTTGCTACAAGGGTTTGCAGACAGAGTTTTGCTGAGGCCAACATCTGCTTTGTCTTCTCTGCTCTTGGACATTTTCTGCAGCACAGTAATGTGGCTGTAGGAAGAAACCAATGTTGTTATGAATTTACAAACAATTTCAGTCTGCAGCTCCCAGTGGCACTACCAGGGGTCATGAAACAGTGAGTTGCCTGAATACACCATTTTGGGCAATATAACGATAAACACTGAAAAATGAAAACAGATATTTCTTTGTATCATGGAAAGGTGCGTGTTTATTGAGTTTGATAAATAACCACACTATATGTGACTGTTTAGTTTGGTTTTAGATGTAATGGATGTGTTATGGCAGAAAATCTGCCTTCTTCAATGACGTTAACTTTTTAAACACTTACATGGGCATTTAGGTCATATGCCAATGTGTGTGGCAAGGCCATTTAAATTGAGCATGTGCTCTCTGAACTTGCCAGTTTCTTGGAAATCAAAGAACAAAAACATAAGGAAACTACATGCTGATAATAAATAGCTGCCACAAGCTACCTAAATGATACAGAAATTCCCTCTGTGAATGCTAAGGGAAAATAAAATTCCAGGGTTAATTAAAAACATAAAGCCAAGACATGTTATTGCAAAACATGGAGAGCAGTATTTGTTGCACATCCCACCCAACAAGATCTCTCCATAGGTTCTCATTTACATTCTTTCTGACTAGCATTTGCCTTGAGGTATCTTTTTTTATTGCTAGTGGGGTGGGACTAAGTCCCTTGCACTGCGGCCATTTCTGGCCTATACTACCAGCCCCAGATGATAGGTGAGGGTGATTGTGGAGCAATTGGTAGAATGAAGGTAGGCAGGGGAAACCGAAGTACTTTGAGAAAACCTTCCGCAGTGCCACTTTGACCACCACAAATCCCACTTGACCAGACCTGGGATCACAGATCATTAAGTGCATTTTATAATAAAAAACATTTATACTTTACCATTAACATATTAACTATAATTTTAAAATTATAACACTTAATTCATTTCAATCAAAACAGGCATTACATAAAACAGAAAAACCCCGTCTATACCTGATAACCTGATGGTCAACATGAAAGTTGAGGTAAGTCACTGTATTTTCTAGTGTAAGTCTACCCTTCTCAGACAAGTTAAGTTTGTATGTGTGGAAGGATCTTCAAACATCCAAAGATGTGACAAACAATATTTAAGCACAGCTACACGATTCAATAATATCTCTGGCAGCTCATGTCCCCTTTCTGTAATCATTTCTTGACAGCAATGACAGCCTTGCATCTTGGATTTCTTTTCAGAACATTATATACTGTGAATATACTCTTAAGGGACAGACTTAATTCCAACTTGCACTTTCTGAGTGATAGCCAAGGCTTCACTTAAAGACATGCCAAGGTTGTGCCATAGCTCAAGCAGTTAGTCGCTGGCTTCCCACTGCGGCAGCCCGGGTTCAATCCCGGGACTGGTCAAGTGGGATTTGTGGTGAACAAAGTGGCGCTGGGGCGGGTTTTCTCTGAGTACTTCGGTTTCCCCTGCCAATCTTCATTCCACCAAATTCTCCATCATCATAATCACCCAGGGCAGGCTACAATAAGCCAATCAGTGGCCGCCGTGCCGAGTGGACCCAGTTTGACTCCACCCCCTATTAAGTGAGCAAATGAAGACATGCCAAATACTTCTAGCCTCCTGTTTGCCTGTGGTACACTTCTGAAATGAGCGTTACTTACAGCTAGACCTCTCAGTACAATTTTACTGTCACACGCCCTACTTTCCTGTATTAATACAGCATTGCTGGAGTTCAAACCACGAGCAAGTGACCCAGCATCATCAATCCATGGTTCCCACTGAATGAGAATGGGTTCTTAAGGTAGTGAGATGCTTCAGTTTATTTTTGCACACTTCAGCCTGGAGAGGGGGCTTTAAAAACAGCTTCTTTGTAACTACAGAGAATAATCTGGCACATAAAGGGATCAAAAACATATGAAGGCATTGTGTCGGGGCAGATAAATATCACAAGGAAGAACATAGCTATAGCCTTATTAGCACTGCACAGTATTTCAGGCAGAATTACATGCTATAAGGCATGTACAATGGGTAATAGAGACAAAAGCAAAAGTAAGAATAAATATGCTCTATCAGCCTATCAAGCTGCAATTAAAGCACTTGACAACTGCCAGATCTGGTACAGTCAGTCTGGAACAGACATTGGTCATTAATGAAACTGGCTGAACATTACAGAGTATAAGTGACAAGGGGGCCAGGCCATAGCAGAATTTAAGGGAATGAAAATGCCAATAAATTGAAAAAAAACAGGTTCTGAAAAATTCACTGATAGGACCTGAACTGACTTGCAAAATCTTTAGGAGGGCTGTCATATGCTGGATGAATAGGAAAAACAGAACACTGGAGATAAACACACACAGACAAAGATATGGAGAGGGTTTCCTTCGAGAGATGAACTATAAGCATTATGCAACATCTCCAAATGCTCCAAGTGAGACACAGAAGAGCTGCTTAATGCCCACCTCTCTTAATCTAATCTCAGTTTTTTCTTTCATTCCTAAAAACTCAAAGAGACCCATAACACTAGCAACATACTACTCACACTGAGAGGGAGACCTGTGCAAAACTCCTAGGCAATGTGAAAAAACTCTTCTGTTTAACCGATATAAAATTAAAAAACTCACCATCTATCAGCTGAGAAGTTATTTGCATGGTTCCCAAACAGTCCTGGGTGTCCTTCTCAAAGTGCGAGTCCTGAATAGCACTCCAAAATGCTCTGTACAGGTAGGACAAGACTCTCTCCAGTGCCTCAAATGTTTCACTCTCTGTGCTAGACAGCATCAGCTTTACAAACAGCTGCCAGAGCGCAGTGTTGTTCCTCACCTGAAAACATCAAAATTGTGTTACATAATGCATGATTTAGGCAGCCTACACTGCAAAAGGATGTCTTTGTGTAGCTTCCATCATAATTCTCCTGACCTGTTAATGTCACTTACCTACAATACTTCAACTGCAATGACACTGAGATTAAGTCAATCAGAGTACAACTGGGAAATCCACAAAACCAAGACTTTAAAATGAAGATGTGAGGAACAGAGCAAAACTTGATAAACCAAAGGAAGGTTTAAGGAACAAGTACAGTATCAAAAGAAATCTGTACATCGACACTTGAAACCAAACATTTAAATGTAATGTGTTACATTTAGAAGTAGGACTTACCATAGGACATTTGTTTCAATTATGTTGTGAAGAAATAACTTTTTACACAAGATTTAGCCATGATCCAAAGAGTATGAAATGTCTCCTGTCAACTGCTTCGTTAGCTTGCACTAAAGGCTAACAGAGAGTTTTCATACACACAAGTCTTTCAACCCATGACAAATCGTGCATGGTACATGTCAACACTCCAGCAAATGATAGTTTCCAGACATGCAGCATACTTTGCAGTGTGAGCACTGACCATGATACATAAACATGCTGTACAAACAACTGTACAAGCAAATAGGCAATGGCAGACTTCCAACAACAAAATCTGCTAAGGGCTGCCCAAAGTTTGTGTGCCTTTTATGGATCTCACATCTTTTAGAGCATTATATATGATGGTATATTTATGGACCTCATGGTCTCAAAGAGTCAATGATAGCTTTATGTTTCTAAATATAGAACTGAATGACAAACAGCTCACAAAATGCACAGTCTTAAGCAACTGATAGCTCTGCCTCCATAGAAAATTTAACATGCTGTAAGTTATTTCACTTCCATTAGGCATATGACCTGTAATATGAACACTGTAAAATTTTCCTTTCAAGGTGCTCTTGAAAATAATATTGTGATCATAACGCTTGCTTTGCCTGTATGACAAAACTGTGTCTTGTGGAGAATCTCTGAACAATGGATTCACTGAACACAACTGCCTTAACAGAATGCCAAAAATTATTAGATATGAAAGAGAGGAGGACTTCCTGATCCAAAGGCATGCATGGGAGTTCATATGCTGTTCTAGTTGCTAGGATTAGTGATTACTGAAATACTATTTTCTATATTTATAAAAGTACTCTTTAAGTGCTCCTTTAAAAAGAATTACTGAATATCTTAACACTGAATTATATTCATTAAATAGGCCACTATATCATAGATTAAAAAGCCTCAATTATAAATATAAATAATATAAAAAATAAAATTAAAATTGTGTGGTAGTTTTGTAACTCCTTTCATATACAAATGTGTACATAATAATGTCTCTTTTCCTTGGCTTCTCTTATTTCGTTTCATTCCCAACAAATGATTCGTCATCGTCATCGTCAGTAATCTGTCAGATGACAGGTCCACAGTCTCTTCCAAAACAATTCCTCCACTTAATGCGATCTAGAGCTTTCTCCTTCAAATGACAGTATCCTCTTCTGTCCCCAAGGTCATCCAGCATCTTCTTACGTCTTCTTCCCACTTCTATCCACCCCTCTATCTTTCCTTCAGTAACCTCTTTTAAAAGGCAGTTTCTGCGTAAAACATGACCAATCCAATTAGCCTTCCGTTTTCTTATTTCTTGTAGGATATTCCTCTGCTCACTGACGCTAATTAACACTTCTTCATTTCTCACATAATCGGTCCAACTGATCTTCTCCATCCTTCTCCAACACCACATTTCAAAACTTTCCAGATGTTTCTGATCTACTGCCCTAAGTGTCCATGTTTCAGCCCCATACAGAGCTATGCTCCAAATGTAGCATTTCACTAGTTTCTTCCTCAAATTTAAGTCCAATTTGCTGGTAAAAAGATTCTTCTTCTTGCTAAATGCAGCTTTTGCCATGGCAATCCTGGATTTAATTTCACTAGTACACCTTCCATCATCTGTTAACAAGCTACCCAAATATTTAAAACATTTCACATTCTCCAGTTGTTTTTGGTCTATCTTTATTTTGACTGGGGTTGGTTGGCTCGAAATTTTCATTACTTTTGTTTTCTCCACATTCATTTCCATGCCATAACACCTTCCAATTTCAATTAGTCTATCAATCATGCCCTGTAGCACAGTTTCTTCCTTAGCCATTAACACAAGGTCATCTGCATATTTCACAGTTTGAATAATTTGCCTTCCTAATTTGAAGTCTCTGAGCGCATCCAGAGCTTCCTTGGTAAGGCATTTGCTGTACAAGTTTAACAGAATTGGTGATAAACAGCATCAAATGATATATATAACGACATTTTAATACTGAGGTAAACAATTTCATATTCTGTCTCAAATTTTATACTACATAATTTTCCAAAGTTTCAGAAAGTGTATACTTTGATTACAACTGACATAAATGTCTTCAAAAGAACTGCCAGAGTGGCATACAACCACTCAAAAAAAGCAACAGGGTGTCACTTGGCTTGACTATGGCACACAGGAAGGTCTAAAAATTTGATGGAGAGACAAGAATGGGAACTTTTACTGGATGCTCAAAGCCCACAAAGAACTGCTATAGGCAGGCTGCAATGTATGACATATTCATTTAGCAAAGGAGACAGATTGCACAAGTAATTATGGTGTAACACTGTGAAATTAAGTAGGGTTCAGTGTTATAAGTTGAATTTACATAAGTTCTGGGGGGGGGGGGNCCATTGAAGCCAGCCTGCTCATCACTGAGCAAGTTGTGAAGTTGTGGACAGGGAGCAACCTTATCTCATCATGGGAGACAGTGATATCATCTGTGCTTGAGTTACTGTGCGCAGGACCAACAAGCCTTGCAGCAGACTTGAGGAGCCTAGAAGCACACAAGCCAAAAATGTGTGCATTTGGTGTTAGACTAAACTTCAGAGAGATGAAGGCAATGACATTCTCCATTTTGGATAGGAATGGACCCATGACTTGGCCCTGGAAAGAGTGGCATAAGCATCAATGGTTTCTGTATGAGTTTGTACCTCAAAATTATAATTTTAGTTAACTGGTTGAAGAATACTGGTACTAGAAGCGGGCAGGGTGGCCATCAAAGGCCACTGAATTATTCTTAAGTTGTCTCTATCTATCAGGACAGAATAATCTGGGTGGAAGAGGTTTCCCCTTTGAATGGTCTATGAAATTTATTTAGTTTTTTAATAGTGTATATAAAGAAAGCCCATTACAGATTCTGTAGTTAAGTTCTTAAGGGTATACTGAGTGTAATTCTGGGATTACTGGCAAAATCCAAAGAGAGATCTTTTGGCAATGACTGTATAATATACACTTTCTTTGTGTGATCCAATACAGTAATGTGTTTAGTGGAACCGTTATGAACACTGCTCTCTTGAAGCTCATTTATGGGCTGGAGTAACTGGCCTGAAAGACAATTTTTTCTTTGCCCCAGAGTGGCTCATTCTTACCATGTGGTTTTGCAAGCACTTCCAAGAGTGTTGCTGTTGTAATTCTTGTTATCACATGTAGGGGTGTGTCTATAGACAGGGTATGGTTTGGTAAGTTGATTTATTGACCACTTATACACACCACTCATTACTACTCGTATATGCACTTGCAACGCTGATCGCCACAATTCGTAGATCACCACAGCACCCATTAAGCCTTTTCTCAACCTGCTTTCGCGAATCATTTCCTGGTAATAAATCTTATAATGATGGAGATTCTTCAGCTTCTGTTGTCACGCTGTTACCCTCTGGTTACCATTCCAAAACTGATCTGTGCCATCTCTTCTCAGCCTCCCTCACAGAACTCACCTCTCAACTAAATGACAACTAACTACTTCTTGGTCTCCCCAGTTGTCTTCAAGACAACTCCTTGGCATGGGCAACATAGAAAACACTGTTTCCAACAGCAACTCTATTGTTGTAGAGGTATGTTTATGGCACCACTGCATAGCAACAGCTGTTGTATCACTGTCTGTTTCGAAGTCTTTGCCTAGCAACAGGTCTATATACCATAACATAATTTCTGTTACAAGAAACAAACACCTAAGGATTTTGACTTATTGTAATGTATAGTCACAGTGAGTTGTGGTTGCCTGATTCTAGTCATGTGGTTACCTGATTTGTGATGTGTTCTGTAAACACATGGGACCTACATCCTTCACACTGGTATGACAGAATGAAAATACAGTATGCGCCAAAATATCAGTACTGAAATGCTGTTGATACCACTGTCTATTCATGTGAAGGCCCCTTGCATGACAGAACCTTCTCAAATACTGAAGAAATGGTCCAATCACCATGTCCCTGTAGCATTCTTGGGTGACAGTAAGAGCATTGCCTTCCTCATCCTCAATGAAATAGGGGCCTAATATACCGTGTGCTGAGACAGCACACCATATCGTCACACGTGTACTGTGTAGCGGTCTCTGGACGATAACATCTGGCCGCTCAAAACCAAGGAAGCGAGTTGTCTGGCGACCACTTCCGTATGAGCGGAAATAATACTCAACTATGAATACTTTTTCCTCCATCAAGAGACCCATTTCCAACAACAACTGCACAACAGAACTTCCCTTTCACTACTGGGAAAACATGTGGCTGGAGCTATGCCCCATCAACAAACATACATGCACACTTAAGATGTGCGAGTTTCAGTACTGCATTGGTGCATACTGTATTTGCACCTTTGAAAATGTTAAGGTGAGCGGATTTGTCTGATATTTGTGTTATAAATACAGAAGTGACAGTTCTTTCCTCACTATATGATTCCTAGGAAACACACTCAGGAATCTCAACCATTGATATTTTATTTGCAAAGATGATAACACAAAACTTACCTGCTGTGTAAGCCGTGTGAGCAACTGCTCAGCCCCCTTCTTGATGTTCCCTTGAGCATCCATGCTGCAGGCAGCATTCACCAGTATCTGCAGCACTTCAATATCAACATGCTTCTCTTTCAGGTCAAGAATCCTATTGTAAGCATGAATCACCTGAGGAAGAACATGACAGTGAGCAAACAACGTGATAAATGAATGCTACAGAAAATAATGAACGCATGGAGAAATAGTTCTCTTGTTTATATTGCTATCGACCACATATTAGGGTCCGTAAATAAAAGAGGATCAGATAGCAAGGCAAGCACAATATTGTGGAAAACATGAATGCACATACAAGTTTAACTGGAAAATCTGAAAAGAAGAAAACACTTGGCAAATCAAGGGTAAATACAGGAGGAAAATATTAACCCTGTCCAATCTGATTTTAAACAAGAAGTTCTGGGAAAAACTAATCATTTGCTTTCCTTGATACAACATAGACTGCACAGAGTATGACGCCTCCAGCAATGCTTCATTGCCACAGGAACATCTTTACCTAGCAACGATAAGGGGACACAGACAGATAAACAGACTCCTTTGATAAGACATGGACCACATACAAACTGAAGCATCCAAAAACTCTTCTACTGTTGTGTGCATTCATTGCCATGGGAACGTAGGAACTGAGGCGTTGCCTAACACTGAATGGAGTGGGGGGGGAGACAAGTACGCACTCACACACACATGTACACACACACAAAATGGGTCACAATGGCTTAAAAAAGGGCAAGTATTGAATGACTGAATAGAATGTTCTGAGAATTACTGAGTCAATTCTGTGCCACACCACTTACATTCTGGTGCCATCAGAATAATCAATTTATTTGTATCTTATAATGCAATCTGGTAAATGATGCACAACATGAAACTTTTAATTTCATGTTCTATGTTCCATTGCATTGTTATGAATCTCAAAAGAAATAAATCAGTTCGTATAAAACAGATTGGAGCATAGTTTACCATCACTACTATCAATATTACTATTACAATACCACTGATTCTGCCCACTCTGTGTGACACACACCAGACTGCAGCACCAGCATTGATGATAGGGAGGAAAGGAGACAAGATTTTGAATCAACTAAAACACACCATTAATAAATCCACAATAAAAGTATTATTACAGGACAAACAGAATATAACAAATCTAAATTGGACATCAGCCATATTTACAAAATTTTGTAAATTTACTACTTAACCATTCAGGTTTCTAAACTGTCAGACAATCCTTCCCTTCTACAAAGAATCGTGGAATTTCACAACTGTCAAATTATAGTGGATGACACTCTTTGTTCTATTCAGAAAGTACCAATCTCATCTATCAGCCTAGCGGCCACATATCCTGAGGATTATGTGGCAATCCTCAGTCACTCCAAGAAAATGCTGTCAGTTCACAGTCAGCTTTCTCCCCATCTCACTATTCACAATTCTCAAGCCATTTCTCACTTGACATCGCACAGCATGTACAGCTGATAAAGTGACCTTACGTAAACGTGGAAGATGACATACCTCATGGAACCTGCCGACATCTGTGCTCACAACCATGTAATTGTCCCACACTCTCCAGTTCTCATAATTCCACTTGAGAGATTCTTGCAGTGTCAACCATGCTCGGTGCTTCTGGTTCATCTTCACATATGCTTTTGACAGGTTGTTCCAAGCTTCAAAACTCTGAAACATTTCCACATAGGAAACTGTAGTTTTGTGCAACTTTCTTTATTATACAAGGGTTGGAACTTTAATAGTGGCAACTATTTATTTACAACTGATACAAAATAGATGCATGTTTCAAAGTTTTACTGTCCTTCAATGTAGTCACCAGCATTGTGTACAATCCATTGCCAGCGATGTGGAAGTCGTAGTTCGAATGGAGCGGTCTACTGCCTGAAGAATCTCTGGAACAGTTCTGAAGCGAATGCCATGAAGTGGTTCCTTCATCTTAGGAATCAAGTTGAAGTCACAAGGGCTTAAGTCTGGGGAGTATGGTGGATGGTACAGCACTTCCCAGCACCATCGATCGAACAAATCAGCCACAGCTTACACTGCATGTGGCCAAACAGTGTCCTGCAAAATGATGGATGGGTTTTGCAGAAAGTGTCGCCGCTTCTTTCTCAAAGCTGGTTGCAGGTTGTGTTCCAAAAATGAACAGTAATACTGTGCTCTGACAGTCTGCTGTCGGGGAACGGTATGCGTGTGGATAACACCATTACAGTCGTACACGAGAATCACCAAAACTTTCACATTACTGGGTTTCTGACAAACTTTTGATTTTCGTGGTGACCCATAATGACCCCATTCGTTTGATTGGCGTTTCATTTGTGGCTTGTATGATTTGGCCCATGTCTCATCCAGCATAATGATATGGCCTAAGAAAGCTTCTCCTTCGCACTTATAGCACTCCAAGTGGTTACGAGCAGCGTCACATCATAGCCATTTCTGCATTTCTGTCAAATCACGTGGAACCCATCATGATGCAATTTTTCTCATGTCCAGCCGTTCCTTCAGAATGTGAAGCACAGTTGTATGCGCTAATCCTGTCTCTCGGGACAGCTCACGAATAATATGGCGTTGATCACTCTCCGGTAACGCGGAAAGAGCATACATTTCTTCTTCACTGACACTAGGACTACCTGGTTGACGCATGTCTGCCACATTTTGGCGTCATTCATTGAAGGCTTTTACCCATCTTGCCACTGTTATGTAAGGCAATGCAGATTTCCCGCAAGCCTCTTGAAAATCTTGATCACACTGCCGTGCTGTATGGCCTCTGGCACATTCAATCTTTATTCAACTCCATTGTTCCTGTTTCAAAAACATCGTGATAACACTATATTACACCGCTAGCTAACACGAGGCTCTGTTCTTCTCATCATTGCACATGCGCGTGATGTGGGAAGGGAGAGTCCATTTGCTCTGAGGTAAGGTAGGTATGTAACTGACGTGTGGTATAAGCGACATGGTGTCTCTACAGCAGTATTGCCACTATTAAAGTTCCAACCCTCATATTAATTTAACTGAAAATAGAAACAGTACTTGCCTCACCAATGTTTCACTACCTGACCTTTTGCTCTGTAAACAGTAAAGATTTTGATGATCTGATGTTTTCACATCAGTGAAGCTTCATGCTATTGTCTTCTGGGTTATTACATACTGCCATAAAACCGAATACTAAAGAATGAATGTGAACTGGAGCTTCTCATATGATAGAGCAAAAAAATATGTGAGTTCTTTCAATAACCAATGACAATGAGCCGTTGCCACATCTGGGCATCAGATATATGGAATGTACGAGCAGAGATATTCCGGTTTAGAAAACCGAGATTAATGGCCATGGGAATCTGTTGCACTGACCACATGATGCCCTCTATCTGCAAAAGTTGGCACTAACTTCACCAACAAGCAGAGGTTGCGTGGTCAGTATACTTCACTTGTGGACTAAAGGCCATGGAGGCAGGAGCAGAGATTCACTCTGGTGTGCATATTTGATCAGTATACATACAGCACACACAAACAGCAGTACTTTCTGTTCAGTTTGGTGAACATGGCACACAAGGATATTGCAAGTTGAAAAGCAAGCATTAAGATTTGCATACAAATGGGTAAGACAGCCTCACAAATTGACAACATGGTCAGTAAAGCCTACAAGCACAATGCCACGAGTCAGGCTTCAGTATAGGTGTTTCAGCATATAATGAGACCACAGACTGAAGTTACAGAAAATTTCCATGTACCTTGTTTGCCATTCTGCATAATAGCATTAATATGCACCATATGTGAGGGCAAAATCTTAGAGGATCAATGTGAAGAACATGTCAGGACATGACTGAGTCTGTGGCCACATAGGCATTAAAACAAAACAAAGATATCTTGTACTAGCTGTCTGTTACTTTAAAGTACATCTAAAAAAAATATAAAATGTCAACATGCCTCTGTAAGAATACACACACAATGACACTTGATGTATCTGACTGTACCAAACTGTACATGTAGAGATTTTCTCCCATTAGGAGTCATGTACAATGTGGACAAAACCACACCCGAATGACAAGAAGCTACAGAGAGTTCATGGGAAATGGCAACGTACATATCACCAGTCATTAGCCTCCTCAGTTGTAATGTCCTTCACAGAATGCACTTTATCATTTACATAACCTCAGTGGAAGAAATCCAGGGAGTAAACTGAATAATCTTTTATAATACACACAGAGCTTCTCAGATTATCAGTCTCAGTGCTAATCCCCCAATCAATCAATCAATCACAGTTGATGTAGGAACTGCATTTGAAAACCCACTGGCTGAAAAAGTGTTAATCTTTCATTAACATGGTAACACAGGATGTGCACTGCAATAGCGTATACAGAAACTCCAGTCAACAGATCAAGAAGCAGACTTCAGCCAACTTCCATTAATAAATGGCATCCTATAAATATCTGATAGATGCTTCTACGTAACTAGACTCAGCAGGTGCAGTGCCTTGGAAGAATCCAAATTGGAAAAACATACTTGTATATTCACACTGTCATGCAATAGAACGACTATAGATGAACTGAATTTACTGGACTCTTAAAACTTGTAACTACAGTTAAGTATAACTGTTTCATGGATCTACATGATTAACAAATCACTACAGCACACACGTCTTCTCAGTCAGATGTGTCTTCAACAGTTGTTTGATAATGGCTTCAAATGACGTACATCCCTCAGCCTCCATGTTCCAAGGCTCTGGTGCCTATCTCACAACTCAACTATGCATTGCCTAGTCACAGTCTTCTAACAAGAGCTATTCCCTATACCTTCATGGTTCAAGCACTGCACTCACTAACCACCATCTCATGACTCCCAACCCTCATTATCACACACAGCGTTCCCAGTCATGGTCTTCAGGGAACTGCTGGGTGACATCTTTCAACAGCGAACGTTCCTTTGTTCCTGGGCTCACATTCTCACAGGCTGGTGGCTCCCAACTCCTCGCTGGCTGGCATCTATCTCACAACTTACTCAGTGTTGCTATAGAATGGCTTACAACAGTAGCGGCTCCTCCACCTCCCACGCCTCTGTCAGGGCAACTGTCTCAGCCTCAGGATGTCTTGGACTGCCTGCCCACAAGCTTGAACTTTACTCAGCTCTTGTCCTCGTAATATGGCCTCGGGACAGACCCCACAGAAAACACATTTTATTACAGTTTTTCCATTGATGTATGATGTAGCTATCCATGCAGGCCACACAGAAAACATTGTTTCCCGTAGTACTTCCATGGGTTGCGTGGTGTGGCATGTTCCATTGTTGCATCACTGTATATTGTGCCACTTCCTAGCAATGGCTGTCTTGGCTTTCAGCAAATATATCACAATATCATGGTTATTCACTGAGGATTTAATGAATACATGCAACCTGTGGAGTGAAAGACTAATATTTCTCAAAGATTATTCAAGAAAAAATGCAACATCTTTCTGTTATTTCCCAATGGATCAGCAAAATCAGAACCAGTCACTTGGCCCACATGATAACAATACCTCTGGATCCAGTGAGCAGTATCGCTGATAAGCTGTGGCACATAGGGACCAGTCCTCTTCATGCAGAGCAGCGTATCCCAGGTGAAACCACAGAGTAACCTGCAGGCTGTTGATGGCGAGTGACTCCTGAATGTGAGGAATACTCTCAGCATACTGCAACAAGCAAACAATGCGGAGACCAGAAGGAAAGGAGAAGAGGGAGGTGGAGCTGTGCACACTATCAAAACACTATCTCTTGCATCTGATAATACAGTACGAGTCTTTTTCGCTTAGTGGGGGGTGGAGTCCAACTGGGTCCACTCAACACGGTGGCCACTGACTGGCCTACTGTAGCCTGCCCTGGGTGATTATGATGATGGAGAATTGGTGGAATGAAGATTGGCAGGGGAAACCGAAGTACTCGGAGAAAACCCGCCCCAGCGCCACTTTGTCCACACAAATCCCACTTGACAAAACCCAGGATCAAACCCAGGCCACCGCAGTGGGAAGCCAGCGATTAACCGCTTGAGCCATGGCGTGGCCTGGCAGTACGAGTCTTACTGCTTAAATTACAAGTTATTTCGAAACAAATTGCTAGCTTCACATTTTGATGCAGAAAGAGGAACATGTTCATTACTGAAGATATCCGACTTCTGGAATATAATATTGCAGCATGTAGACACGTTGCTCGGCAACGATTGTGAGATAAGCAAATATACAACCATTACTGAGTAACACATTCACAAATAAACATGTTCCTATGGCAATGAATCCACGCACAACAATAGAGGAACTGCTGGAAACAGAGTTTTCTATGTGGTATATGACGAGGCTATAGAGTGACGATGAATGAGGCAAGTCAGGATTAGCCAGGGGGCAACAATGTGAGTATTGAAGCTGAAGAAACTCTATTGTTGAGATCTGATACCAGGAAACAACTAGTGAAATCAGACTGAAAAGACTTAGCATGTGCTGTATTAATTTGTAAAGTGTGAAGATTAGTGAAGAAAGCCGTCTTCTGCGTTGTGGCGCCGTGTAGATATTGTGTTAACCGACAAATTGGAGGAACACAGCACAGCACCTGCTCACGCTGGTTCCTCACTCATGGATTTTCTATTTTCTTCTACTCTGAAGATGGAGGCGATACGTTCCACCAAAACATCGGTTAACGCAATATCTACATGGTGCCACATCCTAGAAGATGGCATTCTTCATAGTCACCACCATGAAAACCTCAAATCTTACATGTGGAGATTAGTGATGGCATCATAATAACTTGAAGTTATGATCTGTAAGTGATCAATAAATTAAGTCACCAATCCAAACCTTGTCTATAGACAAAATATCATGTAGTCCATTGAAAGTCAACTGACGCTTCGGAGGAACATGTCGCCTCCATCGACAGAGGCAAAGAATAAGCCAAGCAATTCCATATTGGTTTCTTGCTTGGCTTATTCTTCAACCCTGAAGATGGAGGCGACACGTTACTCTGAAACATCGAATGGCTTCCAATGGACTAGGTGTCGTTACATTCTAGAAGATAGAACTCTTCAGAACCACAGCTGTGAGAACCTCAAATCCTACACGATGTTCATTATTCACTGCATAACAAAACAGCTATCTGCACTACATCTTGGCAGAAGTAATCTGACAATCTGATACCATGGCTTTGTTTATCATGCCTACTTAAGCAAGGCAACAATCCCTCCTGGTTATGTACCTGTCCTGACATTGTAACATTTAAGCATTTTAATATCTTCAGTACTTCATAAATATAAGTTTCAGTCAGAATATGTGCTACCTGCTTCCTGTTGTAGTAGTAAAGTGCCCAGTGGCGTTGAGCACGCGCACTCTTGTGGCCCGACAAGTCCCATGCCTTCTCATAGTGCAGTGGGTTATCTGTAGCGTCTCCCAGTAAGCACCACAGCTTTACCGTCTCTTCCTTATCCAGTTGCTGTTGTATTATTTCAGCAGCCTGAAATGCACAAGTGAGGCCTCACTCTTTCTATATTCCATAAAAATGTCTGCATTTTAAAAATTACAGCAACAAAGAAATAAGTGTATATTCAAATCATATATATGGTGAGCTGGGATAGTGCAGTTGGTATAACGACTGGCTATGTGCTGGATAACCTAGGGGTCGGAGTTCCAAGTCTTGGAAGGGTGAAGAATTTTCAATTCTCTACAGCGTCCAGACAGGCTCTGGGGCCCACACAGCCTTCTATCTGATTGGTAACAGGGGTTCCTTCCCAGGACGTAAAGCGGCAGGGGCGTGAAGCTGACCACTCACCTCCAACTAGTGAGGAGGTCAAGAAAATGTTGATCTATACATCCACTCTCCATACGCGTTCATGATGTAATGCTTAATTAGTTAAGCATAGGGATAACTTTTTTTAATCATATATATGGTTGCCTAATTTACCTTATGCCTAAGCTGAAGCAAGTTGTAGCACATGATGACTTCTTCCCAAAGCTGTAGTCGCAGGAAGATGTCCAATGCACTCTTCACAACACCAATAGAAAGCAACAGGTTTGCCAATTCAGTTTCAACTTTCCACCGAGGTGGCAGATGTGAACAATAAAAGTAATGATGTCTTGATACGGCATCTGGCTTTTCTTTAGCGAGACAGTGTACCAACTCCTGCAACAAAGTATCTATGTTAGAAACTACAGTATACAGTTTGTAACATCTGCTGGTATGAGATGATTGTGCTACACATCACTCACTCTCTGAGATGAACCTGATGTGCCCAACTTTTCAGATGTTAGACTTGTTCCAAGCTGGCTGTGAGTGTCCTTTTCTGAGGTAGTGACTCTAGCTAAATTGGGAATACTACTGATAATAATTCAATAAACAATAGCATTTGAGCACTATGAATACAGAGGAAGCATGAGAACCACTTTACGTGCTTATGTCTGTCTTTAATGGAACTCTGTTTAAATTTTCTCCTTAATTTAAAACAATATTAAAATTACAATTAAAATGCTACATGTTTCAGCCTTTCTTGGCCATCCTCTGGCAATTGTTCATTTGTTGAAACTGCTACACTGTATTACACTGATATATTGGGTTTTTGGACTTTATCCATCGTCCTGGTTTTTAAGATAACAAATAAAAACAATGATGTTTCGGAAACTGGATCTGTTTCCGTCCTCAGGTGGAGGAAAACACCTATTCAGTTGGGTCCGTTAGAAAGAGCTAGCCTCAATCACTGGACCACCTGAGGACGGAAACAGATCCAGTTTCCGAAACATCATTGTTTTTATTTGTTATCTTAAAAACCAGGACGATGGATAAAGTCCAAAAACCCAATATATCAGTGTGTTATACACCATCGTCAGAATCCTATAGTAACTACTTACACTGTATTAGTTCTTAAGTTAAAGAATTTCAATATTATTGCATTTTCATCATTCACATTATAATACTTCTGCTTGTGAACATCACTCTTTATCTTTTCTTATGCTACCTTCTTGTGGCATTAAGTGTTTGTGTTGTTTTGTTTAGCCCTATGAATATCAGTGTGTTGTTATTTGTCATTTTTATGTGCTCCATCAGTACATATGTTCCCATGCCGTGCCCACAATAAAGTGATATAAACTGTTTGTCATTCTGAAATAATGCACAGTATTTCTGTGTTAACTGAAGAAAATTAAAACCAGTTCAGTTCATCATGCAAGTAACCGCTCTGAGCCTCTGGAAACCATCAATGTTATGAGAATTCTACCATGGCTGTGTTAGAGTCTTACCAGTTTAAATGGAGTATACTACAGGAAGAAGAGACCACTGGAAATGGTCCAGTGCCACATAACCCTGTCAGATTGCATGTTAGGAGATGGACAGGACGATACGCATTCTGCACATAAAAGGAAAATAATGGAAAACACCAACTAATTACCTCTGTCTGCATCACAGCTCTCTCCACAGTACGAGAATTATGACCCTCGAGATGGCAGCGTTGCAAGAGTGCTGACATCTGCAGGCTCCATGCAAGAGGCAGGGACAACAGACACTGAAAAAGTATGTTATTGTTATAAAATGCTCAATAATTTACATATCAACCATTTCAATCATAAGAACACTGACATATTCTATATTTATTTAGCATTTAGTCCTATAATTTCCTTCAACTCTTTATGAAAAGGATATATTATTAAACTCTTCACACTTAACAACTGAGGGGCTGAATGGAATGAAGCCTGCCTCAACTGAAAGATAGGTTTTGTGAGACATAATTTTCAATATGAATGAAAGTTACAACCAGATTATTTATGAACATTGTACTGACTGCTAACAATCAGTATAAAACATAATGTATTTTTTATTGTTTCTTTTATACAATATTAAAACTGCTGATATGCACATCTGCATGCATCCATGCACATGCACACATGCAGAGACATGAATGCGGAACCTGCATCATAAAAAAAAGATAAAACTGCCCTGTGTCTAACCACTATCCTACTGTGACAGTTCAAATCTGCTAAAAAGTTCTCCGTCAACGCTATGGTCCTCTTTAGCCATTTCAGAAAGGTGACTGGTTTACTGGCAAGACCAACTTATTAGCATCTTAAGACTTTTCTTTTTCATATCTGGACAGAAAACAACTGCCTTGTTTTTGTTTACATGCAGTTCGGATGACCCGAAAGGGACAAGTTCACCATGGGAGGCAAGTCTGTAGTTTTCCGAAGATGTGAATTTTGTTTTGACACATGTAGCTGTCGTAAAGTGTCTTCTGAAGGGCATAGCTGGACTCTATAAACAAGAGAAAATAACCACACATACATGTGGGGTTCCGAGTTCTATATCTTGAGAATTGTTTTATTCTCAAAGTTCGCTATGAGATTGGCTTGTGCCGACTGCATGTTGAATTTGGCTAGTTAAAATTTGCCAATAGGGAATGAATTTGCCTGGGAGAGGCCATTGATTCAAATCCTTCTTGGGGGATGAAGCTACGCTCCCGCAGAATACCAGTCTTCAAAAACTTGGCGTTCTGAATTGATCGGAGGAAGACATCATTGGACTGCGCTCCTCATGTTTCCCTAAATTCATCAGTCCTTCACGCTGGATCATTAAAATTTGATAACAGTAAAGGGCCATATTACTCCGTGCTTTAAAATGAAGTTATAATATTTCACTTTTGAATAAATAAACAGTGGATGGTGAAAGTTGTGTTGTTGATTCCGAGCAGTGGACTGGCTTCCATGTGCAGTTTCTGGTTGCCTCAGTTATTACCTTAACACGATCCTGATAGGAGTCAAGTGGTTTACCGAAGCCGGTGCATAAGTAGAAAGAAAGGAGGATGGTAACACTATGAAGACATACAAGGCGCTAGCCGATAAAGTTCCACATGTTCCAGATCTCAGCACTGAAGATGTAGGTGCAGGATAAATTCTTCCACTCTTTGACAGTTTAAGGGTCAGTGATATTCAACCAGATGTAGGTAAGTGGTCAGTTTCATTCTCGTGCCACTTTATGCCTGATGAAAAAGCCCTTGGTACTCACTCTATAGAAAGGCGGGTCGGCAACAGAGCTGGTCTGGAAGTTATGGTTCGAAAGAAGATTCTTCACAGTCTTGGTAGATTCTACCCTTAATATGGATGCAATAGGTTTCTCCACAACATTAATACCTATCTGCCAAATTGAACGGCATCACATGGCCATGCCATCACTCAGGTGTCCAAAGTTAAATGCCAGAGCAGGTCATGTGATATCTGTGGTGGCCAAAGTGGCACTGTGTAGGTTTTCTCCAACTACTGCAGTTTCCCTTGCTAATTCTCATTCTAGCAACCGCTTCACATTCGTTAATCAATCTATCATCCAAGTGTAATTAAATAACCAATTTTACAGAAGAAAATACATGGCATCACATTCCACAAGGCCACAATCTTAATGTTCACCTCTGTGTGAACCTCAGATCTCAGCAATCAAGTAGTAACTGTTATGTTTGATAAAAAAGGCAACATTTCAAGGAACAGTCAAATCCCTATTTAATGAATCTTTGGGGGAATAGATTTTCTTACACTAAATTGAGGTTTTCACTAAATGCGGATTAGGCAAAACTACATTAAGAAACAGTCATCTTCTTATGAGATTCACTGTATACAATCATGATAAAATAATTTCTTTATATAAGTACTTAAAGAATATGTTCTACACAAATACACATAATTCCTGGTACTCATTTCTGTTACAGGTTGAGTCAACCCCAAGGCCACAGTGCAGCTGGAAGGATTAGGTAAACTTATCCACCTCATCGGGACTCGAACCCACAACCTTCCTGCTTGGAGCATAGTGCCCATGGCCACTAGTACTGAATTAATTTCTGAAATAGTTAATGACATAGAAAATGAACACTGAAAGAATTATAATTACAATGTCACAAATGATGTGATGCTGCCATATGTTCAATATGTGATGTCACCTGCCAATGATTATGGTTATGAAAATGATTTCCAGCAGAGAAATATGTGAATATTAGCTGCTGTTCCAAACACAACTACATTAAACTAACGTACAAGTTCTGATTACTGATAATATATTAAATGTGGCTTACTTAATACATTCAAATTAAATATGCAAAAATAATACATTATTTACTTTAGGCATCAGCTGGGACCAGATAAAATTGTAATTAAACATATGATTTCATTAAATGTGGGAATAATAAATCAGGATTTTACTGTATCACTTTTTGACACATCAAACAAAACTGTTGTTCAGAAAATATTCATGCAAAATAACATAACCTGATTCAGTATAATCTGGTGTTCATAATAACCAAGACTGAGAACATTGGCTCTTCATTGTACTCGTGAGCTACCCATTTCTGAGTATCACCTTGGCTATCAGATAGCCCAACTGAGGTTTTCATAATTTTCCTTTAGTGACTTCAAGTGAATTCTGGGACAGTACCCAAAATGAAGCCACAATTATTAACTATTTAATACTGATGACTGCCTTCCTATCTCATTTGACAACATAAAACTTATGAAGTTGAAATAGTAAACTATGAAGCAACGACTTCTTAAAAGCAGAAGTGTTCATATTTTTGACTTGTAGCCTCAGAAATAAACACTTCTATATCTATATATCTATATTCTATATCTATCTTACCATTAAATAAGGTATCAACTCTTCATCTGCTAGTTCATCTCTGGGCTGTGACTTCTGAGTTTGCACACTGCAACAAACATTAGGATTCTTCAGTATCACTTCATAAGAGGTTATGCAGTGGAGTAGGCAACCACATACTGATAATTCTTGGTAAATCAAGTTCATAAATGCAATTTCACTTTAATGTGGTCAACAGATTTAAACTAAGTTCGATAAATAGACAATAAAGTGATTTAATGTGAAATTCTTGCTGGCCAATCAAGAGAGACAGGGAGAAGGGAAATGTTGCCCTAGTCAATTCTATTTATGTGACTTCCTTCTCCATGACATCTTTTGGAACACATCTCATACACCATCAGTCTATGTTGCACACCCAGACACATGAATGAACACAAAAAACTGACAAAGTGTAATGATTTAATACTGAGACTTCTTAATAAGAAAAAGTTCCAAAAATAAAGAGGATCATACCAACCAAAAGCTAAACTTAATTATTAACACATTCAGGACCGGAGGGGCCAATTGGCCCTCTATGTTTCTATAGCGTTGCGGACCAGGCGGGACAATTGGCCCTTTTCTGACGCGTTATGTTGCAACCGACTATATCTTGCTGTGTGGTCACGTTGCATCATAACTACTGCGTTGACCTCGGGGATTTTTGCTAGCTTAGCCAGTAACATGATCACGCTCATTTTCTGTCACACCCTAAAGAAAAAAGCCTTTGTTCGAGTCCAAGCTTCCACGTATGAACCAGGAAGTTAGCAGCGCAACATGGATCAGAGACGAAAGCAGTTGCAGGCGAAACGTTCTCTCGGAGAACAAGAGATATTAGATTTGTTCTCCGATGAGCTATCAGATTTGCAACTGCTTTGTCTTCTGATAGTGAGGCCAGCCGCAGTGAAAGTGACTGTTACAGGGGCCACAGGGCCCCCCAAAATATTGTGTACATCTGCAAATTCTGCGTGATGCCTCTTCACAAAGGGGAATAGTTCCAGAGATATCACATGCGCAAGCACTTCTAGGAGCTCTGGTAAGTGTTCTCCAAAAATTTTAGTTCATAAAATTAATTAGGAGATTTTATATTAATTTTTAAAGTGAACAGTGCACAAGTTAGGGTGCTAGGCTTAAAAACCCCGATCCCCAGGGTGATTTAAATATATTAAACAACCAGTCCACAATGTGTTAAGTATGACAAAATGTGAGGTATGCAATATGACATACATTTTCTGGATGACTATGTTTCAATTCCTGATAGGGATAGGGTTTTCCTTTCGTTGTTAACTAAATCTAAGCCAGCTCTGGTCCTACCAACTCTTGATTCCAATCAGTGCTTTAATTGAGGAAACCAGCTAGAGCATGAAGCCCCATATGCCCTTATGGTGCAATACTCAGGTGCATGGTTTACCTTACATTTGTAATTAGAAATATTGTATTGTAGCATCAGGCTGTGTTAAAACAATGTTTATTATTACTCGGTCAACACAATCTAGGAACACAAAGCAAAAGGGACACGACAACAAAAAGAAACATAAAATTATGAGTATATGTACATAAACCTTTAAACACCTAACTTAATTTAGATTACAATTATAATATTTTAACATTTTAAAAATTTTAATCCTAACATTTAACATTTAATACATTTCATAATATAAGGGCATTACATAAACACCATACCTGTGCAACACACTCCCAATCTATAAACACTGGCTAGTGCAGGAGGTACAGCAGATAGAAGGAAGGGCGACAGTAAGGGCTCCATGTACCTGACAACAGCCACAGTAGGCTGAAACATGTTGTCCCTGTGCTTAACTAATTGAGCACTATGCCATGAAGACGTATGGGGGAGTGGATGTATACACCCACTTTTCTTGACCTCGGCACTAGTTGGAGGTGAGGGGTCAGCTTCACACCTCGGACACTTTACCCCCAAGGGAAAGAGCTCCTAGTACCCATTGGATAGGAGGCTGGGTGGGCCACAGAGTCGGTTTGGATGACATGGAGAGGAGAAAATTCTTGCCCCCATCAGAAATTGAACCCTGAACCCTTTGTCGTCCAGCCCGTAGCCAGTCGCTATACCAATTGGGCTACTCCAGCTCCTGAACTACGCATACGATTAGCAATAATGTGTATGTTTCTGTAGCACTTCAGGTGTAAGATTTAAATTGAAAGTCAGTGAGCAAGTTCGCATAATGGTATCACTCTCTCTTCCTATATATATATATATATATATATATAT